TTCTCTTCCACATTTGGATACTTTCCCTTACATTAATTGAGATTTTGATTAGGCTAAGGGTTTAATCTGACAAAGTACATTTTTTCTTTTTATAAATCACGTTATGAAATTGCCCAAAAGTGCTCATAGACCACCCCATAATCTCCCAGATCCTCAGAGGGGAATTGTGGGCCAACTTTAGAAACTTGTTGTTCTCCACAGAGGACTGAGTCTCAGGTAAAGGTTAAAGCCTGTTTTTGTTAAGAATGTGTGGTAGGAAGGAGGAAGGAAGGCTAGTTCCTACTCCAACTGCCAGCATGTTAGTAACCACCCAAAGATGTCTGGATATATAAGAGGTCAAGAGGAAAGGTTTTGGAGAAATTGAATTCTCCTGCTCTCTAGAGTCCTTGCAGCTCCAATTACACAAAGGTCAAATATTGTTTTAGTCACTCTTTGGGGGCTATTTTTCACATCTCAAATTAAGAATTTGAACACATGTAGCAATAACTACTCATTTGATCTGTTTCCCACTATCTGTTTAGCTGTATTGGTTTCCTCAAGTGAAAATCAGTAACTTTTTAAAAACATATTTAAACAGCCCCCAAGCTCAAAATTCCTGAATTGTCCCATCCCAAAGATTTTATATCCGGGAATCATCAATGAGAAGTCCCTCACCTGTTCTCATCAGTGTCTTTCTATTTGTTACCATCAGAGGGCGACTTGCAGTAATTTCCTGCATCTAGGTGCCTTCTCGGGGTATAATTCCAAATTGTTCCCTGTGATCATACTTCTCCTCTTCCATTAAACTCCCCGGGACCCAGTCATTTCCCCCGACCTATTTTCATCAAAACATCTTCCCAATCCTTTCCTCACCTTGTCCTCAAATGCACAAGCAGTTAGGTGCAGATAGAAAAATCAGATCCACCTTCCGAGAAAGACTACTTTTGACATTTCAGATCTCATGCATTCGCGAGTTATCAGTACATTTTCATTCATCAGTTGTGTCCCCTAGTTTGTCTTCTGTAATTTCTAAAGCAAATATTCTCAATTCCGTTCTATCTTCATTTGAGACACTCAGTAGGTCCATTGCCTGCTGAACCTACTATGTCTGAGCCAGCATGACACCACAAATAAGGGCTTACTGAACTCAGACTCCCTAGAGTGAATTTTAAGTTTTGACTTGGGATTCATTCTTTTCCTGAGTAGAGGTCTCTTTTTCTTCATCTAGTCATTGCTACACTACTATGGCATTCTCAGATATGATTGGGTTATAACTAATAGTTATAGCAGGGCCAAATTCAGAGTGCAGAACAGAGAGGCTGTGGGTCAGCCATGGAAATCCCTCGAGGCAGGTTCCACCTTGTATATCTTCTTCAAGAACAAGCTGAAGTGAAAGATTGGGATGGCTGTTTAGTAGCACCGACAATGCCTAGCTCTAGTAAATTGAACCCAAAACTCTCACATAGTCTGCATGGAACTTTCCAGTTGAGTTTTCAGTGACACATTCAATCAACAAATGTTTATTGAATGTCTCATGTGTCCAGTGTTGCTGTTGCAGGCACAGGGCATATAGTAATGATCCAAGTCTGAAAAATCCTTGTCACATCACAGTGTGCATTCTCCAGCAGGAAAAAAGTAATAAATAAAAAATCTAGAAATTTAGGTAAATCTAAAACCTTTGAATAATAATGAAAGCACAGAATATGATTGGCAGAGAGTTTCTATGTCGAATGGGTAAGGAAGGCTTCTCCTCTGAGGTGACACTTGAGCAGAAAAATGAGTGAAGTGAAGGAGTAAATTATAAGAAGGAGTAAATTATAAGTGAAGGAGTAAATTATATTGATGAAAAGTGTTTCTGGGAATAGAATTAATAAAAGCCCTGGAGTGGAATGATTCTAGTATATTTGAGGGATAGCAAGAAGTTCAGTAGGACTCACTGACAGGGTGGAGACTAACAGGAGGTGAAGTTGGAAGGGAGCAGAGAGAATCACAAGGGTCTTGTATAGTACGGCAAGGAGTTTGAGTTTTGTTCTAAATGTGATAGGAAGGTACTAAGAGTTTAGCAGGCTCCCTTCTGGTGGGGTAGAATTCTGTAACATTAACAGCCATTTTCTTTCTTGGAAAGAGGCATCTGAACAATTTCATTTATTTCCTAAATCATTCTTACAAGTGGATCTTTGATGCTTGGGTTTAAAAAATAAGAATCTACTGCATTGTTTTCTGATTCTATTAAGCAGGATGAGGAGAAAGACTAGAAGACGAGAGAACAACACGTGTCAGTTGGTGGGGCTGTAGGCATCATCCCAACAAACGCGAAACATTTAGAAATTTGCCATATGGTCATGCACTGGAGAGTCTCAAGTGTTTCCCTGAGATGACCTCTTACTGTCCATCTTGTATATTTAAAAAAAACTCATCATTTTTCCTTCATTTTGTTTCTCCCTTAATCTCCAGATCCCTGACACTCCAGCGCTGAATTGAACAAATGTCTACATGGAGAGTCAACTTCCACTCCTGTGAGTAAATTCCTCCCCATATTTAATTGATCCACAAACAAATTTCATGGCCTTGAATTTCCCAGATTCCCAATTTCATGCCGTTCCTTTTATTTCTCCATTTCTGGCAGTCTTTCTCAGCTCCCTATTTATGCCAGAGTGGTATTATTGCTTCCACATTCTCCTCCTCATAAAATTTATTAGCTCTGAAAATCATTTTCCAGTCATTCATCTCTAAATAATAGTTCTGTTCAGATTTAGTATTGGTCAACAGATGAGATGAATGAATTTACAAGCCCTGTTCCCACGGAGGCAAAGCAGGTTGCTAGGCAAAGCTGCCTCTCCAGAATTCATTCTCTAGCAGAGTTTTTGCTTTTTCCTCTGCTAAGGAGTAACTTTTGAAACCCTTATTTCCTGAGTCTCTGGCACAGGAACCATATAGAACATTAGAGCTGCGTCAGCAGCATTAGCTGAAGCCAGGAGGCTCAAGTATTGGAGGCACCAAGCACAGCCCCACCTTCCACAGGTTCCGACACAATTAGTAAAAAAAATGCTCGGGTCAGGTAAGTTTAAAAGATCATTTTCTTTCTCTAGAAGTTAGTTTGGAGACTATGGTTGGCTTCCTAATACATGTCTTTAGTGATAAGCAACTAGCCTCCCCCTCACACAGGACTCTCCACATCTTGCTGCCCGGTTGTCTGAGGAAGGAAGTGTCTGTGATGGTACACATTACCCTTGCTTAGCACTCCAGCCCCCTACGTTTTCATTGCGGAAGGAGAGAACAGATACCATCATAGCAATACTTTATAGAGGGGAGACATTTCAGTTTCATAAGCAATTAGAAAGAGAAGGTGAGGAAGAAAATGATTCCACGGAGAGTCATCCCTCCTTGCGCCTTAGCTTACTGCTCTGGGCCTAAGGCCATTTTTCCCAGAATGCACCAAGCTGACCTCCTACTCCATCCTCACTACCCAGCTGTTCCCTGGGGTGTGAAGTTTCCATCTGGGTGTGGAAAGTTGTGGAGGTGAAGGAATGAGGGCAAGAGTCCTATGATATATCAACTCTCAAGTATAACAGAAAGGAATGGTCAATCCGAGTGTAGGTAGCTGTAGCTCCCCATGACAGAGAAAGATGACAATCAATGGGGGAAAGTGTTACCCATTCCCATTGTTCTCTCACATCATTCTGTTTGTTCAAGTCAATCCTGACCCGGTGGATTTTTTTATTCTAGATTTATCTGCTTTATAATTGGTAGCATTAGCTTATTTATTAACCTGAATGATTTTTGTGAGTTTTAAAATCTTTTTCTATACAGGGTTTCCCTACTTTATTGTGCCTTTTATCATTACACAATGAAATGTATTTTGTGCAAATTGAGGGTTTGTGTCATCCCTGTGTGAAGCAAGTTTATTGGCGCCATTTTTCCCACCTCGTGAGCTTCCTCCGTGTCTCTGTGCCACATTTAATTAAGGTGCGTCCAGTGTTCTTTCAGACATAATGCTACTGCACACTTAGTAGACTACGTATGGTAGAAGCATAACTTTTAGATAACCTGGGACCAGGAACTGAGCCTGCAGTAGCTCCAGGCATGCCTACACCCTCAAAACTTGCAGTTTAGATGCCTTAAGGTAGATGCTCGCCTCCCTTTTCGTCTGCCCCTGATTTCTGTAACTAGTTTTCTCTGGTCCTTTTCCAACCTCTGGCTGTTCCTTTTCAGTGTCCTTTCTACCACCCACTGATGATGCGCTGCCTTTGGTGTTGCAAAGGCAGCTCTGTCTTATGTCTTGGTTTCTTTTCAGCTAACCATTTCTTCTGCTCCAAAGACTTCAACTAATACATATCCTGGAAGCTGATTTCAAAATGAATGTGGAGATCCCAAATCTCTCTCTCCTGAGCTCCAGATCCGTATTTTAAACCATTGAATAGACACTGTCTTTACATGCATCGCATGTTCAACCAACCAACACCAAAATCTACCATTCATCCCCCAAACTTGCTCCATCTCCTTTATTCTTAAATTTGATACTATTGACCTCAAATATGCAGTTAGTCATTTCACCAGTAAAATGGATGTATTCAGAAACAACGAGAAAAGGCAATTTGGAAAGTGCTCTGTCCTGGCAAAACATGGAGAACCAAAGGAGGAATGTTCCCCAGAACCAAAGGAGGAATGTTCTTGTGTAGATTTTAGGGGCACTGATATAAATGAAGAGTCCACGGAAGGAAACTAGGAGTTCAAGGTATAGTGGCTTTGCATTTGCTGAGTTAGGGTGTGGCTAGGTCCTGAGCTCTTGCTGGGCAAAGAGGAGCCTCCTTCCTTCCTTGGGGCAGCAAAGTAGCATCACCTCCATCAGAAATGCAAGTGTGTCTCTGCTGGTTGGCTTCTGTAATGTGTACTGAGTGTGCATGTGTGAGATCTTGCTTCTAGCATCCAGACCGCACTGAAATATATTAATTTGTATATTAATTTGCACAGTAAATTGTATCTCCATTCACTGAGAAACCAAGCAAAAAATGTGATCTTACCATTAGATCAGGATTCCAATTGTTTACCAAATTCCATTCATCTACTTCTCTGATGTCTTTCACATAACCTTCTTTAGTCTTCATTTCTGCCACTGCCTCGCATCCAGAGCCTGTATCAGTATAGACCTTTTGGTTGAAAACAACAGAAATGAACACTTTTATTTAAGTAAAAAAGAGGAATTTACTTGCAAGACTCCTGGGAAAGCTAACAGAATTGAAGGGGGAACTGCATAACCATGTTTCCAGGAGGACCAGATCTGGAAAAGCTCTGGGGACCTCAACAGGGGAGCTCAGCCTTTCTGCTCAGGACACTGCATGTATAACTCAGCTACAATCATCATTCCTCTCTGGATACATTCATCAAACCTTCAGATTCCTAGTAGAAAGACTCTGGCTAGCAATCCTCAAATAAGCCATCCAGGGCTAAAAGGTAGGGGTAAGGAGTACAACTTTGTACCACAGATCCTTATATCTCTTAACCCTTCCTCAGTACACTTCCATAAACTTCTCAAAGGCCTCTGCATCTTTCTAAACTACAATTCACACTGCCTTTCATATTTCTAAAATATACTTTCAATGTATCACCCTACTTAAAATCCCTGGGCAGCTCTTCATTGTACATAACATAACATAACATAACCTCTCAGGGACTTTATTCTAGAATTGGATCCTGGCTACCTTTCTATTCTCACCTCTTGTTACTTTTCTGTTAAATCTTAGGTTCCAGGAATACTGCTAGTTGTTTGCAGCCATGCTTTGTTCTATTCTCATGTTATTGCTACGCTGCACCCCCACTCTCAAATGCCATGTTCTCTTTACCCAGGCTCAGTTTAGATGTCAGTCCTTAGTCTCTCCCACACTATTTTCATCTGGGGTAAGTGCTCTTCTTCTTTGCTTTGATAATATCCTGAACTTATCTCTGATATAGGCATTGCAATCTGTTGCATTCAACTCTTTCTTTGTCTCTCTTCCTGGTTAAATTGCGAGCTCCATGAGGTTGAGGCTACATCTGACTTATTTTTTGTTTCCATTAGCTGGGACAGAACCTAACACATTATAAATGTTCATTAAATATATTGAAATACTATGCAAAGCATTGAGAGGGAAAAATATGTATATACAATTCATTTAAATATATAATTCATTTAAATATAAATACACATTTGGTATTTTATTTATATTTATAATATAAACGTATATATAAATATATATGTGTATATATCATTCACAGCTCCACTTTCAAGTTTACTGTCTAGGAGGCAGGCAACACCTGCATATTAGAAAAATATAAATAGATAGAACTACTGTGTACTAAGAGACTATATAATTGTATGCCCCCAAAACAATGCTTGTAGGCTCTACTTTGGGTTGGATTGATCTGGAAAGTTTTTTCTGAAGCAGAAATGTGTGAGGAACTGAAAGGCACAACCCTAAGCCAGTGGGTGGTGCTCACAGCCAACTCAATAATAGAAGGTGGAGCCTTTCAAGCTCCACCCCCTGCGCCAAGGCTGATGGGAAATAGGGGTAGAGCTGAGGTTTTTGGCAGTTAACTGCTGAGGCTTTTGGTCAATTAAACTGTGGGGCTTCGGGAGTTGAAAATACTGGGCTTTGGGGCATTCAAGCTGCTGGGGCTTCTGGCAGCTAAACTGCTGATAAAGAGGGAAGTCTGTGGAGAAGACACCAGCTTGCTATGTATGGCATTGGCTTGAATTCTCTCTCTCTCTCTCTCTCTCTCTCTCTCTCTCTCTCTCTCTCTCTCTTCTCTTCTCCCCCCACACACCTTTCTTCCCTCTCCCCTTCCTTTTTTTCTCACTCCCTGGGTAGATTCTGCTACTGTTGTTTCACTTCATGTGTCTCCTTTTGCAGTCATAAAAGTGTGGATGAGGATCCACCAGCTGGGTCATCCGCTCTGGATTGCTTGATTTCAGAAAGTCCTGGTAGTCATGTAAAGAAAAATATTGAAATGATTTGAAGAGGTTGGAGAGAGTATTTTAAGTATGGGAAATATGGGAGACATGCTCACTGTGTTTGCAGAGTGGGGTGAAAACATTGGCTAAAGTAGAAGTCGTTTAAATGGTGGTAAAATGGTGAAAAGATCAGTGTGTGTAGGAACGCCATAGATTAGGAAAAAATTGGAGTAGATTGTGGCAGATTTTGTAGTGTGTCTGTGCTTTTCATTCTCCAACGTAGAACACTTAGTGTTCTAGATTGCCTGTACCTCACAAATTGACTCTGTCCTCTAGAATGAAGAAAGAAATACTTGACATTTTTAAAATGAAAACTTTCCAGGTCAAGGAATTTCCTCTTCCTCCCTGAACTAAGATTGCCTGGTGTCCTTGCAGGTATTGTACACCAGATCTTCCCACTGTTATTCTGAATGTAGATTTTGTGTTGGGTGGTATTTTTTTGTTTGTTTTTTATTTCTGGGTTATGGGCTAGCAACATAAGACTGTACCGCCAATGTGATAGCTCCTACTTATTTTAGTTTCATTAAATGCATGAACTGGATTCCTGATTCCAGAAAAATTAAAGATGAAAAAAGGGGAAAAGCTTGAAGTGAACCATATGAGTTTAGCTCAGTTTAATCACAAATTTCAGATAATCATAAGTCCTAAATAATCTATTAATACTGCTAGCACAGATCTCCTCCAAACCTACTGACTTTAAAGATGCTTGGGCTGAAAGACCTTATCAAAGTTTTACTTAACTGTCAAGGTCCCCATAATTTGATCCCATCCTATCTATCCCCTTTGATTTCTGACTACTTAAAACAACAATAGAAACAAACCTTCCAGTTAGGCTACATCACACACCATCCTGTAAGAACCAGCTAAGCTCCATATCCTCAGGAAACATACCTCCAAGTCTCACTGACATCTCTCATCTCTAATGGATTCTACATCATCTTTTGTTTTCCATTTTTAATTGCCTATATAAAAATGTGTAGCAACTCCCTGCACTCCTCTCTTCATTGATTTCCCAGTTTCTCAGATTGACTCTATGGGTGAACATGATGATATTGAGAGGGAAGGTAAATTGAAAGACAGCTGCTTCTCCAACTTTCTGCCATGACTGACAAGTGGGTTAATTTTATTTCAAGTCTTTATGAAGGTAAATCTCACCAATATCATGAAGTAGTATGTCGCCTTTAAATCATTTGGTTTTTTTTTTAATAAATGAGAAAATTGAGGCATCAAGAGATGAAGTGGGTCTCCCCAGTGGCGCAGCAGGCTGAGCGCCGTGCTGTGAAACTGTCCACAGTGTCTGCAGCGCTGGTTCGATTCCTGGATGGCCAGGGAGATTCCCACATGGTGTGGCTGACCTCTCCTGTCTCACCCACTGCTCTCCTCAGCAATGTCTTCGGTCCGTCTGCCTGTTCTGCTCCCCACTCTGTCTCTAGTGAATTCTCTCACCCTCCCATGCCTCTGATCTGTGCCTCGGTTCTTGTATAAATAAAAAAATAAGTCTTTTAAAAAAATCCAGGGAAATTAAAAAAAAGAGAGAGATGAAGTCATTCACCTAACATATTAACATGAATTTGACATATTGTTTAATTTAACAGTCACTCCCCCTATTTACCAACTAAACTAGGTTTTTGAGGGCAGAGGTCATCATGTCTTGTGCATTTATTGCATTCACAATAGCACCTTCTCATCAGTCTTCTCTTGTTTCTCATACAGGATCAAGAACGGGGCTGGGCACACAACGTGTGCTAAGAAAAGAATGTTTGGAGTGAATTGAACCCCTGAGGAATGTGGACAGTTTAGAGGCACAGAACGTGGCCTCTGGGTGAATATTTGCCTCAGGTTGGATGCTTAATAGTGAATAGCAATGCGCCGACAGACACATGTCAAGTGAGTAGTCTTGCTTGCCCAACTATGTCATAAATACCATCTTATATGAACTTAGTTTGTAGCCCATAATGCTTTGGACAGTTCTGGTCACAGAGTAGACCCTCATTAAAAATGTTTTAATTGACTCACTGTCCTCAGATCAAAAACCATATTTGGATCTGTGGTTCATGTAGCAGTAAGAATACTTTTTGCCAAAAGAAAAGCACCAGCAGTCCAAGGTGGGCACTGCTGGGCTGAAAAAAAGGTATTTTTTCATTGAGTTCTATGCCTTAAATTTAAATCCTGTGCTGCCTTTCAGAAAAGTGCCACAATAAGGACTACATTATTATTAGATAATGGAATAGAACATATCAAAATGGTACCAACTTTAAGATGTTACATGGGGATGAATTTATTTTGATTTGTCCCCTTCGGGGCTATTTTTTAAGACCTCTAGTCTTATTCAATGGTGTAGCTGGTAGCCAGCAATAGATGGATAATAGCCATACTGGCATGGGATTTGATCTTGGAATGGAGATTATTTGTGCCATGCTATATAGCCAGTTGACCTACCAATGATATTGTCTGGTTACTTCTACATTTCTTATTTTAGTCCTTACACTATCACCCCCATTTTTAAAAGAGGGAGGTCTAGTTGAGGTAATTGTAGGATCTTACTTGAGTTAGTTTAACCCCCAGGTGGACCAATTTCCAAGGAAGAATCAGACTGTCTCATCATTCACCTGACCTTACTGATGAGCACCAATCAAGGAACCAAAAATACTTTATTACTAAATATTACATTTTCTACACTTTCTCCCCTTTTTTCCCCCAAAGGGAACTGGTATCTTGGGAGAGTAAATAAAAGTAGAGTATAAAACTATTTACTATCCATGATAATTTTTACTATCCTGTCTTTAGGAAGAGAAATTTACATGTGTTAAGGAAAACGAGGGAGACAGTGATACCCAGAATGATCATTAAAGTTAGAAATATAGTTGTGAAGTTCTACTAACTATATTCCTTCTCATGGAATCATTGTCTAATCATGAGTGCTATTTCCATTTGGAGAAGAGTAGGCAGGTGGGCACTCAAAATACTTAGGTGGTCTTTATTTATTTATTTTTTTTAATAGAGGCATGTTTTTTATTTATTTTTATTTTGTTTTTGTTTGTTTGTCTCTATACATGCACTGGGTACAGTCAGAAGCGCGGGAGGGTGAGAGAATCCACCAGAGCCAGAGCGGGGAGCAGAGCAGGCAGAAGGACCAAAGTACACTGCTGAGGGGAGCAGCGGGCGGCAGGAGAGGTCTGCGCGCCATGTGGGACCCTCCTCTGGTGGCCGGGGAGCAGCCGGGGATCGAACCAGCGCCGCAGAGGCCGCGGGCAGCTTCGCAACCCAGCGCTCAACCTTAGGTGGTCTTTAAAGGGATAATGAGGGTTCAACTGCCCAAAAGAATTTCCTAAAGTGGGCTACTTGAGCACTTCTTGAGTGTTATAAAACCCCTACCTTAGAAGAAATCAACTCATCGATTGCATCACATCTCCAAGAGGTTCTACTTGCTGAACTCTTCAAACTGAGGTTTTGCTTTTCTCCGGGATTCATGTAGATGATAAATTCTATTCTTTACTCCCTTGCATTTTCAATTAGTGTCTCCTAAATTGGGTTTTTTTAAGTGAGGCTTCCAAACATTGTTGAGGGAGATTGAGAACGAGGAGCGGGAGACTCTGAATGAGAAGATATAATTGGATGCTCTGCCTCTTTTTCAGGATTCATTATGAAAAGTCAAAAACTCCAGGAACTTCTAGCCCAGTTGTTGACAATGATGAAGTAAGCAAATGTTCATTTGTCATCTTTTTCGGAATTGTTGAGATGGCTTTTATGAACAGCGCCTCACCAACTTTCTATTGAAGAACAAAAACCGTCGATATTTATTAGAGTACAAGATTAATTTAGCTAAGTTTTGAAAGGGAAATAGAGACATAGAGAAGATAAGAGGCAGTGACACAACAACAGTAAGGATTTGAAATCTGGGGATCAGAAACCTATCTTAGGATGTAAGGGGAAGCATAAATACCCTGACTTACCTAGATTTTTTGACTATGTCTTGCAGCAGACCTATTTCCCTAGGTTTATCATATTCAAGTGGATTTCCCAGGTCAACTTGTATTTTATCGGCCAGAGGGAATGCAACCCAACATAACAAAACTAAAAACATATTCCAATTTGGACACTCTTAATTAGCTTTGCCAACTGCTGGAGATTAAATTGTAACAGAGATACAATACCCTGGAAAAATTCAGGAGGTAAAACATTTCCCTAGAGCTTTTCCTCCTAAAATTTATTTTTAAAAACCCGAAAAAGAAAAATCTTCCCATCTCTCTCCTAAATAAAATTTTCCTAGATTTCTGTGATACTAAATATATATGTCATACCTGTGAGACAGCTTTCTCATGATGTATTTTTGTATTGAACAAAGGAACTTCAGTTTTCCAAAAAGTATTACAAATTAAATTATTCTGTCTTTGGATTTGCCCCATGTTTCATTTTATTTTCCGTGAAGGAATGTATGGTGGGCTGCTACTGGTCCTCCTCCTGGTCTCCCCCACCGCCACCCACCCCAACTCTGGGCATTTTCTTCCTAGAGGATAATAACAGCAGCCCTCAAGTCATAGTTTTGTCCATTTCTTACAACTTCTCTTTTCTCCCTTTACCTTCTAGTTGTCTTCACCCTCTCCTTTGTGCCCCATTTAACTATATCACCTCCTTGGGGGCAGTGCCATTTTTAGAAATGCTAATCCAAATACAGGATTGTGCTCCCCTCCCCTTTTTCTGATTTCTGATTATGCCACATCCAAAGGAAGTCATCAGAGCTTACATTTCCTTTTGTTCTCACCCCTTTGATTCATCCTTCAGTAACCTAGGGCCTGCTTAGAGCTGGGGCAACAAAAGGAAAAGGCAATAGAAGAGCCCAAGAACTCTGCCGACACACTTGACACCCAGATAATCCACCAGTTACTGGCACTGCTACCAGCAGAAAGATACAAAGTGTTAGAATGTTACCAAAAATTCAGTTTTTTTTTTTTTTGGCAACATTTCTGGAAGAATCATATGCTGCAAATATACCAAAAGATGTAAGATGCAGCCATGTTTCTCCCCTCACTTGTGACCCTGTCCACTCCCAGCTCAGTTGGAAGCAATTCCCAATTTTCTTGCCACGCATGACCCTTAGGTTATTGCCCGTTTCGGTACTTCTTTTTCCTTAAAAGCTGTCCTCCAGGGTGAGTGTCACTTGATCTCATTCACTCCTTTAAAAATGGAAAAGGCAGAAGACGTGTGACCCCAGTGAAGTGTTCCCATTTGAACTTTCACGCTGTCTTTGTCTCCTTTACCTCCTAACAGCCTTACCTGATTCCTAAGCTGGTCCACATTTCTCTGTGCAAGCTCCCCTGTTGGGATGTTGCAAAACCTAGCTCTCCCTGCTGGGCGGTTGGTCCTCACTTCATTTAGATTAAAGACCAGTTTTTAGTGAGATTCAGGGGAGATAAGGAATGAATATTGTCTAGGAAAGATGCAACTTGAAAGACTAATTTTGATTATTGTCTCTAGATTATTGATGCAGTTGGGCAATCAAAATTTGTTCTAAAGAACCTGCAGAATTACACAATCCACCCAAATTTGGTAGGTAGAAAAAAATATTCCCCGCAATCCTGTTCTTTTCAGCAGCAGGGATGAGACCGACTGCAGAGTATCCCAGATGCCACCTATTGCCACCAGCTTCTGGTACTGTGCCTGTTCCTAGGATGGGGGCAGAGCTCCCTGGGACACAATGCTAGAGGCAGTGCTGGGACCAGGGTCAGGGGGAGGAGGGAGAACTGGTAATATGGTGTCCCTGCAGCTGATACCAGTTTTTAAGTTGAGAAAACATAATCTACAAGTATTCTGTTCCTTCTCTCACAAATTCTCTGCCTTCCTTTACTGACAGAAAAGCAAAAGTAGTTGGACTGCCTCTTTCCTGTCACCTTTCAGGTGACTGTCTTTTGTGACTATTTCCTTTTGAACATTGTGCTTATTGTATGGTAATCTGGTTGTGCCTGTGGAGAAACCTTGGTGGGTGGGAAGATGGTATTGGCCCCCTCAGTGCTCTCCTAGCAAAGAGACTGGGCCTCTGGCATTTTCTTCCCTCAGCCTCAGAGGAAGGAGTGGAGAGAACATTTTAGGGTTAACATGGAAGCTTCTGTTTGCCCCTCTATGATGGACATTATGTTACACTTTTCCAGAAGAATCCAGTCATTTTGTTGCTTTTATTGTGTTAACCTTTTCAGCTTACTTCTCTAACCCCCTAGTCTATTGGTGAGGAACACTCTGAGAGGAAGGACAGGGCAGAGAATTGAGCATTTTCTGTGAAACAAATCTCAGAGCAGATTTGTCCAGCCCCTGACCAGCCTCTGTCCATACCCTATATAGGCAAAAGATTAGCCAACTGATTTGTTAAGTCTTCTCTTGATCTAATCCCTTTGTCTCTGGAAACTTCTCTGTCTGCTCAGAGCCACTACTATGAACCGTTGAAGCCCACAGCACTGCAGAGATTCCTGATTCAAAATCAGAAAATCAAAAGCTTCATGTTAAAAGTGTCAGATTTTGATCGGGATAAGACTTTACTGATTTTGACCAACAACCCACCTCCCTCCCCATTTGACCAACAAGGAAGGGACATCACACCCAGCTACTTTCCCCAGGAGTTACTGCTCAAGGTAATGGCACCTGGGGCGGGGTGGGGGGGGGCATGGGGGAGCTCCCTGGTACCCTACGAAAGGGGCCCTAAAGAATGAGGAGTTAGCTGGGAGAAGGGAGCTAACCACACATGGAAAAGGGCATCCAGAAGCCAATCTTCTCTCTCTTAATCTTGGCCATATGCTTCACAATACAGAATCTGGAGATCCTGGGAAATTTCTAGAATCAGCTATCCAAACCTGGATCATGGAATGTCATTGCATGGAGAAAAAAAGGATCTTCACCAGAATTTTCTTCCCTTTTTGGCCAGAGATATCTAGTTTGTAATTAACAATGAGTAAAGTAGCCACTGGCTTTCTAGTTGAATGTAAATCAGTAAAGAATAAATCAGGAAATGAGGACTCAGGAACAGAAATGAATATCTCAATGAGAAAAGAATAAAGGGTTTTGCTTTATACCCATTGTTTTTCAATGTCAAGAGAAGGAAAGGGCAGAGAATTTATTATCACAATAGCTATACATTTGGGGCTCTATTATACACTAATTTTAATTCAATTCTATGAACAGTACTTTATACAAACTAAGATGAGAACTAAAATATAAAGATGATTATAGGGCGGTTTCTATCTTGAAGGAACTTGGAATCTAAGAGAGCAAGAAATGAGATATATGAAAGGAATGATATCAGGATATATGAATGATAAAAGAACATACAAGATGCAGAAATAATATACAGTAGAGAACAGTATCTCTGTTGGGGGAGAGGGAATAGTTAGGGGGGCTTTACAGGAGAGGTCACCCCTGATGAAAGAAAAGGTGACTATTCTAATCAGAGGGAAGGACAAAGGCATGAGGATATGAGAAAGTGGAGCCCATCCAGAGAGATGTACAGGAATAAATGGCAGAAGATAAGAGGATGTGATCAAATTTGCATTTTAGAAAACACCGTTTTGGAATTTGAGCGATAAGTGGAAGGAAAGAAAATCAGAAGTGACAGAAAATCAGTGACAAAAATCAGAAGCATTAGTTCTGACATCACCACCCAAGTCAAGTGAGAGGTACTAAAGAATTGAACTGCAGAGGACTTGAAGAAAATCAATTTAAGAGAAATTTAGGAAATCAGGATCTAAAAAAGATCTTGACAGCCTTGAGAGAGGGCTTCATATAACAAGAAGAAATTTAGTAAGTGGAAGTATAAACAAGAGAATCTAATGATGATAGAAATTTGATGCTGGAAGTAGAACTACCCAAGAGAAACGCTTAGAATAAAATGTGAACTTGGAATTATTATTTCCTTAGTTACTAGGTGGATGGCAGTACAAGATTCCTCTCTAAATGGGAAATAAAATGCTGATATCCAATGGTGTACAACAAAGGAGCTAGTTACCTAATTCATTGTCCATGATCTCTTAATTTCTCTGAGTTTGTCTCTGAATTTGTGCCCTTTGAAGGGCACTGTTGTACCAGTGGCAGTGGATAGTGGGTAATATAAACTGGTATGGTAGTGGACAATATATACTGAGTGGGGGGTGAATGCCATGCCAAGATTGATTGCTCTGCTCAAGGTAGCAGGGGACATACAAAACTATCATGCAACCTTGGTACAAGAAGAGCTTCCTTCTAACAGCTGGCACTTTGTGAATCTTCATATCAGGGAGGACCTGACCATATTCATGTACAATATGTGGTACTAGCCAAAGTTATCAATAGAGTTAAGACTCTGAGTGTCAAAGACTGGCTCCACATAATTGTATGGGGCTATTGTATGGTAATTGTATGGGACTAGGATGCTTTTTAATATTCATACTGCTTCCCCTCCTTTTCTTGGTAGATAAATGTGACCATCTTTTCTGGGCTTAAGATCTTATGCAAAAGCACCATTCTTTTGCTATGACCAGGCATGTCTATGCAGTGATTGTTTTTTTGTACCAGGAAAGTTGTAGAATGGATCAGGCATGTCTATTGCAGTGATTTTTTTTTTAAGATTTATTTATTTATGCATATAAGAGCTGCAGTATAGGCCAGAGGTGCAGGGGGTGAGAGGATTCACCAGAGACAGAGTGAAGAATAGAAGAGGCAGATCTACTGAAATACACTGCTGAGGGGAGCAGCAGGTGAGACAGGAGAGTCTGCTGCACCATGTGGGTAGCTCCCTGGCCGGGGATCAAAGCTGTGCTGCAGCGGCTGCAGATAGCTTCCTAGTGCTGCGACTTAACCCTTTGCACCACCAGGGAGGCCTCTGTTGCAGTGATTGCTATCCTCAGAGTTCTTCTAAGTGAAATGGACCCTGCCGGAGTTTGTAAAAAGAAGGATGCCCTAAAAGAGTCTACACTCAATCCTCTACTCCTCTGGGTCCAGAGGTTGCCAGGTCCGGTGAAGCAAAATAGTGAGCTGTGCTGTAGATTGGAACCCCCAAACCATGTTAAAACTTAAGCTAAAACCGACTAATCTACCAACACCCCAGATCCGTAAGCAAATCAGGTTCATCTTTCCAAGTATCTGAATTGGAAATGATTGTGCAGTGGGAATGAAAGCTAAAGGGAAACAGAGGGACCATAGAGAAAGCAAACCTTGAGGAACGAGGTAGTGTAGGGAGCATGGAAGTAGAGTAAGGGAGGGCTGGAATTATAGGAAAGCAGAAAAAAGTTGCAGAGTAGAGCTAAAGAGTGAATGTGGTAGAGAGAGAGGGACCCTGAGGGGAAGAAAGGAGAGACATGTTAAAGATAATCCTGGACAAGATACACCCTCTCATGCAGTGATGGTCCTTAGCTCATGCTGTCCTGGAACTCACAGAACTTTTCCATTCCTGTCTTCCTGTTATGAGGTCTTGTTCTACTAAGGGTTCTGCAGTTTTTGTGGCCAGATTGCTGTGTCTTAGCCCCTAGACACATATGTTCTTATGGTAAAACCTGTTTGTTGAGGAAACTCAAATGGGTTCCTACTCCTCAAAACTGGAAGAGATTACAGAGAATGCCGTAGGATTAGAAAGGCATGATTTTGCAGCAAGCATTTTAAAAAGGTTTTGAAATTCTGAGAGAAAAAGCTTCGCATGTCAATTCATCTGGTCCTTCATTTATTCTTTCTTTCATTTTACCAAGATTTATTGTCTGCTAATTATTGTCTGCTAATATTTACCAATATTACAGGTCAGGCACTGTTATGAGTGGTAGGAATATATCAGTGACAACGTTAAGTCTTTGCCTGGATGAAGTTGAATTCTAGTGAAGTAGACCATAGAGAAGCAAGTGTTCCAGGTCACATAGATAATGTATAGTGTGATAAGTCCACAACGAAGCAGGATAAGGGAATGGGGCATGATGGGTGTGTGTGATGATTGTAGATAGTGTGCTAAGGGAACTTTGCTCTCAGCAAAAGTAATGGCATTTAATAGAGACTTTAATGGGATGACGGGCTGTATACTACAGTTGATCCGGCTAGCATGTTTTTGTCATTTCAGATTACCACGTTAGGAAGAGTATAAATTGTAATTTTCTCAAATGAGTGCCGACTGAGATTAATCAGAATAAGGAAACCAAAGCTATGTCATGTGAAGAACAACTCAAAATGTTGAGCCTGGAATGGAGAGTGAGCTAAGCAGGGTCATGATGGATTTCTTCAAGTTTTAAAGCACTCTGTGGAAGAGGCATAGATTTGCTCTGTTTGCACTGTCGAAGCTACCGGGAGATAAGCCATTTAACTGACAAAGATGAAATAGGTCTGGGTTTCTCAGTGTAGGGAAATTGACCATTTGGGAGTGATACTGTGGTATTGTGGAGGGATACGAGTGTCAGATGAATGGTAAGCTGGATGACCTTTAAGATCCTTTCTGAAAGTCTTGGATTCCATGGCCTTAGTCATGATGAAATTATTACCTCACAAAACATACCATTCTGTGGACATCTTACTGCAGGCAGGAAATGGAAAATGGATGAGACAGCTATCTCCAAGAAAGGAAGGTAGCATCCCGTGGATCCATTTCCCAATTTATTTTCAAATGTTTGGTTCTCTCAGCAATTCTCTGAATTCTTCTCAAAATTGGGTAAATTCCTCTGCCATTCACTTCAATGGACAAATTCAACCACCTAGGAAAGTAACCGAGGTTTGGACAAGACATCTGACAATGAAGTGGCAAGTAGCCATGCAGGGAATGAATAGTTTCCTCTTCTTTTGATTTTTGAGTCCCTACTCTTTGATGGGCTTTGCTGCATCAATTTTGGGTCTTTAGAGCTTAGGCCAACCTTCAAGTCCCTAGGGATTCAGTGTACTCCCTCACTTGCTTTTCTTCCTTCTGCTACAGGAAAATTATCATCATCCCATCAAGAATTTCTGCCTACCTCTGATGCCCCATAAAAAAAGGTTAAAGTCTGGGCTTAAACCTGTCTTCCTTGTGACACTGCAGGAGGATTCTACATCCAAACAGGAACAATGGTATAGGTGAAGTCCTGGCTCTTGTACTATTTTTTCTTCCTACCTTTTCCTTATTCATGTTGCCATCTCTTTTCAATGATTTAACAAACACTCTTTGGTTGTAGGGAATGTATACCACTGTATAGTAAGAAACGGCTTCCCTACGTGACCTCAACCTTATTTACTCCCAAAAGAAAAACAGTAATGCAAAACTGTGGGTTTTCACTGACATTGACTTTCAAGAGAAGTACCCAAAAATCCATGCTTTATGGAACCAGCCATATACTTTTTTCTCTTAGAGTGTGTTAAGGACTGTGTTATAGGAATAGTGTGCTATGGATTTTTATTGGATGTTAGCTATAGCAAGAGCCTCTGTTTCGGAGATTGGAGAGGAGATTCTGGCATTCCTTCAAAGGTGTGCAATGCTAGGTTCTAGAAGCATCCCTGGCCATTGAGTAATAACTCCCACTTTGTACCAGTGAGTGCCCTCCAGCATTATCTCCTCTTCCCCGAGATCTGAGATGTAACTGACTTCTGATTAGTTCCATTAAAGCCCTGTCCTACGATCTACTTAATGAACTTTCTTTGTTAAGGTTTTCCACTAGCAAAGATTTCAGGAGTGAAGGGAAGTACTCTAAGCTCTACGCTTTGAGGAAACAGAAAAAAATGTACCCTCACCTCAACTTTGCTCCAGTCTTCAAGAGAGACATGAGGAAAGATGGTAAGCACTTCTCTTGCACAGCAGTGGCGGGCAGGACTGATATGCAGGCAGGAGGGACAAACTATGGGGAGGAGAGACAAGGGCAACTTGGCATCTCCCATGTTTGTTCTGGAGATGAGTCTTCCTTATAGCATAAAAGCTTAACACCCATGGAGGCCCAAGCAGTACTGAACTTTTAGTCCTGTTTAAATCCTAAAATTTCAAGAAAGTTCTAGCAGTGTTTTCCCCAAATAATATCACTTACCATTTTAATCATTTTTGCCATATCAATTTCTTATTTGCCCTACTGTTTACTTAATCTTTTCCTTTGATCTTGTCCTAAATACTATTTCCTTGGTATCAAGGGTTTGATATACTAATTATGTTTTTTCTGACATTTAATCAAATTAATAATTTTTTTTTTTAATATTCATATATCACCTAAAACAACCCAATGGTAGGCATATCACACCTTGAGGAAAACTGTTCTAGAAGGACCAAAGTCTATGTATGTCAGAAGTCACAAAGTCTCTTTGGGGGGGAGGCAGGACATGATGTAGAAGGGATTTGGGATAAGGTTGTATGGAAGAGGGCACAGTGGGATGCTTCTCAAAAATTATCATTTTTAAAAACTTATGTTGGACACTTTCGAGCAAAAATAATAGCATTTTCAGTGTTTGAGGCAGATGGGCCAGGTCACAACAGGTCTTATGTATTACATAAAAAAGGGCTTTTATCCTGCAGGCAGTTGGGACCCACTGAAAGTTTTCAGATCACTGAATACACATTTGTGAATTAGAGTTATGAATGATTTGGTCCCCAGACCAGTTTACGGTCTCAAGATAAGGTTCATTTTTCCTATGGGATTTTTATAGCCAAGCAATTTCTGAATCTTCCCAAAGTGTACTTACCAGTTCTACAAGGCCAGCCTAGTGATTGCTTCATACCTTTGCCAGCCATCCTCAATCGAAACACCAGTTCCCGAGGTGTGAGCTCACAGTGTACCCTCCTCACACCCACCTACTGCCTCTCTGAACTCCTGTATCCAGCTAAAATCAAGTGCTGATGTTAAAACTTCATAGTTGTGGAGAAAGGCTCAAGAACAGCAGTGAGCACTTTATCTTGCCTTAAAAGGGGCTCCTTTTAAGGCTCAACTTCAAACCCAGCCTTGGTTTGTACAAGCTTCCCAGCAGGCCCACAGAATTTCGCGCATTCTTGGAAATCTTTTGACTAGCTGTTATAGGGCAGCCCCGATATTGAACGGGTTGCCTGGCTGTGGGTCCTCACCCGCGCGCTTACAAGGGACTCATGAATACTCCACTACAGGCACACACAAAAGGTTAATAAAAGGTTTATTTACAAGGGAAAAGGAAATAAGGAAAATGTACAACTCAGGGAGAAAATAGGGAAATAAAGTCTTTCATGCGTCCTACCTGATCCGCAGACCTGGAAACCCAAAGTCACTCTCCGAGCTGGCCGGAAGCTGCGAGCTGGTGATGAGTCAAAATGGGGGATCCCCTCCAAGCCCAGTGTCTGGCTTTATACCACACCTGGCTGCTTAACCCCACCCTCAGGTCCCAGCCACCTTTCCTTTGGTGGTGATGGGATTTGGAGTTCCCAGTGTCTTTGGCTTTGGCCTGGGGTGGGGGTGGAGTCCACAAAGCCTGTATGGAATTAGCTTTAGGACAGCCTTTTCCCCCTAACATTACCAACATGCTCACTACCTAGGTTTCCAATATCCTTAACCCAAAGAAGGGGAAGAGGATCTTTTCCTTCTCCAAAGCCTGTTTATTTACAGCTCCAGAATAAATAAGTAGGAACTTCTATTCTCTTCAAGGGAAACTCCACCTGAAAATGAAGTTTGATCTTCGCAAGCCAGATAAAACAAATATAATAGTTAATAATAAAGTCAGAGTTAAATCTTTAGTGATGCCATACATAGGGTATCAACAGGTCAATTTAAATCCATATAGGGGGAAAGACTTTCCCTAGAATTCAGTGTCAATTAGAACTTCCCTAATATTTCAAGGTTAATACCTGTTAAGGATACACCCAAGGCACATTTTTAAACAGAACACTTAATATCTCAGTCAGCAACAGTCATTAAATTTATGGTGAATTTACAGTTTCCAGACAAGAAGAATCAGTGGATAGTTACTTTTACCAATGTATCTAAAGGGCGTGTTATGGGCTTTTCCTAAACAAAGATAGGATCTGCAGTGAACTTGAAACAATGTCATTGTTGTCCTTTTGGAGTCTGTGGGTTTGGCTTGGGGGTCCTTGGGTGAAAGGTTCGGCTCTGTAAAGAAAAGGAGAGCCAGGCTACATTTCTCAAAGGGAGGGAAAGTTTATTGCGCCCCGGGAGGACCTCACACACCCAAGGTGGGGGTCAGTGAAGCCGCGCACGTTGTCAGGGGGAAGCAGGGTTTTATAGGGTAAGGAGGGGTCAGGTGGGAAGTTGGGTTCGTAGGGCAGGAAAAGTTTGTAGGGAGGGAAAAGTTTGTAGGGCGCGAAAAGGTTCGTGGGGCAGGTAGAGGTTCTTTGTCTGAAGAGACTCGTAGGGGGAGGGGGGAGGCTCATTGTCTGAGTCCTCCAGGCAGGTATCCGCATTCCTGCCCCCCAGGTGGGCTTCCTGGTAGGCTTTTGCATTCAGGCCTCCTGCAAGGACCTTTCACTGGGTTCACCTGGGAAAGATTTCACCAGAGCTTCCCTTTCAGCGGCAAGCAGCTAGTTTGTCCACGAGACAGAGATGGTCGTTGTATTTAAAAGGCATGTTTATTAGGAAAAGGGACAAAAAAGTAAAGTACACTTGCTTAGATACAAGCAGGCAGGAAGAGCTGCCCCAGAAGGGACAGGTTTGCTAAGAGAGGCCTGCATGGTTGCAGGCGGGTAGCCTTGACCAGTCACGGGCAGGCAGGAAGGCTATTGCCCTGCAGAGGGAAAGAGTTGGTGAAAAGAGGTAACTTCACAGCCACAGGTGGGCAGACGGAGTGCTGCCGGAGCCTCTGCAGAGACTGAACTGATATAGTCTTCTTCTGTTTGGGAGGGGTCACTCCTTGTGAGTCGTCAGTTGGTTGCTAATTTTGTATAACTATATAGAATCTGAAAGGGACCGGAGATTCTACAATGGGCTCAATCTCCATATCTTTACCTTTGGGGTCTGTTGGGCTCAATCTCCATATCTTTACCCTTGGGCCGGTCCTCTAGACAGCAGTCAGAGACCTACTTGGATGTTAATGCTTTGTAATCTAGGTGTCCACGCCTCAGGATACTAGTTTCCCCAACTGTGGGGATGGTTATGCTAATCTCTTCTACCCCCACCTCCTTGTGAGCCAGGTTTCCGGTCTTCACCTCCTTTTCAGTTTTTTTCTTTTCCTCCATCATCATTTCAGGCAAAAGAGATTGCTAGCCAACCCTCCTTTGCCCTGTTCACAGGGCATCGAAATAAGAAAGATTACATGGAGATTGGTTTGGAGGGGGCTCATGAAGGCTGGTTAGGAGACAAATATTAGCACCTGAGCTAAGGTGACAGCAGTAGGGCAAAGGAAACAGATTCTAGGGAGAGTTACATGGCCTCACACAGCCAAGAAGTGGGGAGGGACGGAAGTAAGAAGATTCCACAATGGCAGCTTCCAAAGAACAGGCTGAGGGAATCTGGACAAAGTGATGACAGAAAACAGTTTCTTTGTTATGTAACAGGGCAGCCCCGATATAAAACGGGCTCCCTGGCTGTGGGTCCTCACCTGTGCGCTTAAAAGGAACTTATGAATACTCCACTGCAGGCACACACAAAAGGTTAATAAAAGGTTTATTTACAAGGGAAGGGGAAATGAGAAAATGTATAACTCAGGGAGAAAATAGGGAAATAAAGTCTTAAATGTGTCCTACCTGACCCACCGACCTGGAAACCCAATGGCACTCTGAGAGCTGCCAGAGAGCCGGAGCTAGCGGAGAGCCAAAAGAGGCCCCCTAAGACCCACGTGTCTGGTTTTATACCCAACCTGGCTGCTTAACTCTCCACCCTCAGGTCCCAGCCACCTTCCCTTTGGTGGTGATGGTGCAACAGGGTGGTCCCCAGGAAAGGGGGAGGTTCCCTGCCCCACCCAAGGGAGGGTGGAGCTGAGCAGGAAGAGGAGAAGCTGCAGAGGAGACTGAGGAAAGAAGCAGGATGGAGCCAGGAGACCTGGAGGAGGCGCGTGGAGCCTAGAGACACGTGAAGAAACTGCGCTTGTCTTTTGCAGGCCCAGAGCAAGGCCCCAAAGCCTGCCACAAGTCTAAAGCATCTTCCAGTGGGGACCCACAGAAAAGGGTCACAAACAACCAGACAAGCCCGGAAGGAAAAGAGCAAAATCAACATCAAGATAAAAGCTGCCATTGTCACCTCCCCACGGGTCTCACCCACATCTGTGTCACCCAGTCCACGACCAAAAGACAAGCGCAGCTTCTTCACGTGTCTCTAGGCTCCATGTGCCTCCTCCAGGTCTCCTGGCTCCATCCTGCTTCCTTCCTCCGTCTCTTCTCTCGCTTCTTCTCTTCCTGCTCAGCTCCACCCTCCCTTGGGTGGGGCAGGGAACCTCCCCCTTTCCTGGGGACCACCCTGTTACATTTTGGTTGTGGACTGGGTGACACAGATGTGGGTGAGACCCGTGGGGAGGTGACAATGGCAGCTTTTATCTTGATGTTGATTTTGCTCTTTTCCTTCTGGGCTTGTCTGATTGTTTCTGACCCTTTGCTGTGGGTCCCCACTGGAAGGTGCTTTAGACTCATGGCAGGCTTTGGGGCCTTGCTCTGGGCCAATCCCATTTGGATGGACTTTTACCCACGAGGGGACGGGTAACTTTGGGTGCTTCACTTAGAAACTAGACTCTTTGCCTTACCTGTATTGTTTTCTAGTTTTATTAAAGTTCCTTCCCATTAAAGTCTCCTATGTTTTGTGTTGATGCGGCGGATGGCAGAACCCATTTAGAATAGGCAGGTTTGTGGGGTTTGGGCTGCCCCTCTCCCTGTCCTATAACAGATTTGGCGTCCAACGTGATTTAGGACAGAGCCATCCGTGGTTAGTCAGCCCCATGGGGAAATTGGGCTTCCCTATGGCACTGGCTACCATAAGCGCAAATGTGATTTTTGGTTTCTCTGGTGTGTTTGTTTCATATGTCGATTTGAAGATCTGTGTGTCTGTATGTAATTTGTTTGTAGTGACTTGCTAAGACATTTGATTTTGTGGAAATTGTTCTGTGCCAGTTTTACTCAAAAGATTAGGCAGTACATTGGACCATGTGGCCAGATCAAAGATGGTGTCTGAGGCCACTTGGAACTTTTTTTTTCTTTCTTTTTGTAATCTCTGCTGTCTCATTAGCATTTCTAAAGGCAATAATGGTTCTTCAGTGGTATGTTGCTTTGTCTTTGACTACTTCCTGCCCTGTGTCTGATGGGTTTTGCAAGCCAACTGTGGAGCAGTGGTGTTTTAATTAGCAAATGTATGCCTGGGTGTTAAGGAAAGAGTAGCCTTAAGCAGTAACTGGTAATCGCTGGTATCCTTGATGGATTCTTGGAGATAACTTGAATTTTTGCAAAGTCTGGATTGTTTCTGACCCTTTGCTGTGGGTCCCCACTGGAAGGTGCTTTAGACTCATGGCAGGCTTTGGGGCCTTGCTCTGGGCCAATCCCATTTGGATGGACTTTTACCCACGAGGGGACGGGTAACTTTGGGTGCTTCACTTAGAAACTAGACTCTTTGCCTTTCCTGTATTGTTTCCTAGTTTTATTAAAGTTCCTTCCCATTAAAGTCTCCTATGTTTTGTGTTGATGCGGCGGATGGCAGAACCCATTTAGAATAGGCAGGTTTGTGGGGTTTGGGCTGCCCCTCTCCCTGTCCTATAACAATGGGATTTGTCTTTCCCAGTGTCTTGATGGCTTTGGTCTGGAGTCGGGGTGGAGTCCACAAAGCCTGTGTGGAATTAGCTCAGGACATCATTTCCCTTAACAGTTACACTCAGACAAGAGAACTGGACACCATCATACACTTTAGGAAAAGGCTAAAAGGAAGGGAACATACAAGTGAACAGCCTTTTCCTTGTAAGTTACACGAGTGTCAACATGTTACAGGTGGAATCACGTGAAAGAGGAGGTTGCTATAGACATAGCTCTAAACTGTCAGTAAGTTTCAAGAGTTTGGCTTTTGACAAAGGGAAGGAATCCAAAATTACAAAGCAGTTTGGGAATGGGGGCCGGGGCTCCAAAATCTACCCTCAGATCAGTTTTCTGGTCCCCTGGCCCACCCTGTTACACCTCCAAGTAGGTCTTTAGGCCTCACACTGTCTCTCTAGACCCTCTGGGATTCAGTCACCAACGTGCCCTGTTTCTGTCAGTTTCCAGGAAGACGGAGAGTGACAAGCCGGCCCCCAAGGGCTGGGAACCCCTAACTCTCTCCTCGCTGCAGGAAGAGGCCCCCACCAGGCCGGCGCCCGGGGAGAGCGCCTTCCGCCACGGCCGGGCCCCGCAGTGGAGCGTGAGGAAAGCCACAGCCTTTGAGGACACCCTTCAGGCCTCCGCCTCGGTCTCCAGGGCCTGAGGGCCCCGCCGCAGTCGCCTCCGGGGCGCGCCAGCCAAATAAAGCCACATTCTGCCTGCCCCGGGCGTGGGTGCCGGCCGGGGGCGGGCGGGGGGTGGGGGGCGGCCGGGCCGACCGCGGCGGGGACCCGGGGTCGCAGGGTCGGCCCGCAGCTCGGGGGCGCCCCGCCCGCCCCGCGTCCGAGCCGCCGGGGGAGGAGCGGGGGGCGTGGCCGCGCCCCCGGGGGCCGGGGCGGCCGCCGCGGCCGGGAGGGCGGGCCTTCCCCCGAGTGACGGGGCGGCGGCCCAACCGGCGCCGGGGCGCGGGGCCGGCCTTCCTGCCGCCTCTTCCGCTCGCCGGCCGCGGCGCCTGGGACGGTTGCGGTGGGTCTGGGCGCTGGGAAGTCGTCCAAGATGATTAAAAAATTCGACAAGAAGGACGAGGAGTCTGGTACGCGCGGGGCTTCTGACGCCCACCCTCAGCCGCGGGGCCCCCTCCCGCCCGCCGCCACCTGCTTTGGGGACTGCGGGCCGGGGGCGTGGGCGCCGGTGTGCCCGGGGCCGGCGCTGCGGCCCGCCCCTCCCTCCGCCCCGCGCCTCCCGGGGGCCGGCCCCTGGCCCCTCCCCCCGGGCCGAGCCGCCCCTCGGGTCGCGCGCGCGCGCGCGCGCCCGCCCGCCCGCCCGCGCGCCGCCTCGGGCCGGCCCCGCCCCCGCCCCGCCCCGCCCCGCCCCCGCCCCCTCCCCACCCGCTCGCGGCGCGGCCCCTCAGCAGCCCCCGCGGGCTCGCCGGGGTGGGCTGCCCGCGCAGGAGGCGCGCCCGCGGCAGGTGGCGGAGGGCGGGGGCGCGCGGCGAGGCGGGGGCGCCGGGCGCGCTAGGCCCAGAGCGGGTCGGGGGCGCCGGGACAGCGCGTGTAGGAGCCCCGGGGTCTGCCCGGGGGGGCCTGGGCTCTGGCCGGTTCCCGGGGCCCGAGCCCGCCCCTTGCAGGGCCCTAGCTCGGTTAACCCTCGGGCATCCGACAGCGCGTGCCCGGCTGACACCCAGCTTTGGTCCAGAGCAGGTGGAGACGATGCCAAGAGGCCTTAAAACAAAATTTCTCCATGTTTCATCGCTGCTCTCACAAGGTGTGGTAGGGGGTTGGCTTAGCGAACCTCCATGGCGCCTCCCAGCTTGGTGATTCTCTGCTAAGTTGTGAGTTTCTGCCTCTTAGGAAATGTTAGAAACACATCAGGTAGTGATTGCCTTTATGGAAATCCAAAAGGCCCTGCCATGATCGTCTTTCTTATTCTTCGTTCTGTGGACACGACAGATGATGCTTGTAACATGTAAAGGGGGGCAGGGGACGAAGACACTCATTTAGGACCGGGTTCCTGCAAAACTGAAGTCCAGGATCTTACAGGGTCTTAGACTCTGACAGCGCTGGTGCCAGAATCAAAATGGTTTGGTTCAACTGACAGGGATTTTAGTGATGATTATCACTGTGATAGCCAAGGGGTTCCCTCACTTAGGATTTGCCCAGCATTCAGTACCCTTCTGTGCCAAGTCAATAAATTTGTGTAGGCCTCTACTTTAAAGGACATTTTTTGTTTTATAATGTAGGTAGTGGCTCCAATCCCTTTCGGCATCTGGAGAAGAGCGCTGTCTTACAGGAGGTATGGCTTGGAAGTATATTGTGTTCTCTCTTCCATTTTAGAAGGTAGGCAGAGAGCCCCTGAGATGCTGTGGTCCAAAGTAAGAATTAAGGAATGGAACTGAGTTCAGAAATCATAGGCTTGAGGGGAAAGGAAGAGGGGTTACTTATAGGAGAGTCTAGAGTTTACAGAAATGCAAAAATGCACAGGCTCGGTCACGTTGAAAATTTTAAATAAAATGCCAAGAGAGGTGTATAGTACAAGGCTATTGAAGAAAGTTATAGATATTAAGCTTCTTGTATTCCAGTGATGTAGATGAATATTGTGATGCTTAACAGATAAAACCCATGAAGTTGAAGTTGAAACTCTAAGTTGCTAACACTATTTGGATATTTTGATTAAGTAATTTTCATATTTATTTTATGAAAATTATTTTATATATTAAAGTCAATTTTCCGTAATCTATGTTAGACAAGGTAGCCATAAGCAAATGAGTTAGAGTATAGATTAGGAAATCACGGCCACATCTATTAATTTATATACCATATTAAGTTGAAACTGTAAGTTGCTAACACTCTTTGGATACTTTATAGATTAAAGTCAGTTTTCCATAATCTATGTTAGACAAGGTAGAAAATACTTAAACATTATGTAGAACAGTGTCTTTTGTTTCCATAGGCTCGTTTATTCAATGAAACACCCATCAACCCGAGAAGATGTTTGCATATTCTTACAAAGATTCTTTACTTACTGAACCAGGTAAATTGTTTTGATTTTCCTCAGATTATGTATCCTGGATAAGACAGACATAACATTCAGCGAAGTACTTCCTGGAAAATACAATTATATTTTTAGTTCACTTAATTTTAAAAGCTACTATGTTTGATTAACACAATGATATGTAAAACTTCTTGAGGACATGGACCATGACATGTACTTTGTTTTCATTCCTAAGTACTAAACCAGCTAAGCACATAGGAGATTCTCAGCACTGATTTGAATTTAAGAAGTATTAGTTATATGTTCATAGATTTGTTCAAAGGTCTTTATGTCCTTCCAAAAATATAAAGTCTTCGATAAATTCCAGATAGATATTATTTTACCCTTTTGGTGCCTGTGTAGGGGAATGAACAATATAAGTGTGCAGCCTTGATTTTGATATTTAAGTTTTATATTTATTATCCCTACTCTACTATTACTGATGATAACGATTCTGGCCTTTATTGTTTTGTGCCTTTTTGTCCTTTTGTATAAACAGGATTATACACCTGTTTTATAAAGTTGTAATTATTAAATGAGATAATGCATGTGAAGCTTACAGCGTTGGACACATAGTCAGCATTCAGGAATTGCTTTCATTCGGCCATTCAGTAAATATTTCTTACACACCTGCTATATTGTAGGTGCTGGATATATAGCAGACAAACCCAACAAAGCTATTTGTCCTAAGGGAACATAAATTCTGTTTGCTAATTTTATCTTGTGGAGTTTTTGTTTTGCTTCAGACTACAAAATCTTATGAAATGTTTCAGGCCTTAGAAATGTGATTTTGTATTTTAGATTCACGTGCAATCAAACACACACATGCACACCACCTGGTTTATAGATGGTGCTAAGAAAACTGTGATTTACAGTTTGAATTTTTCCGTGATATTTGCTTTTTACTATGTTTCATAACTGAGTACATCATCCAGAGATTTACAGACTTTTGTAGTTTGCAACTAGAGACTGAGCAACAAGTGCTTACTTGTAAAAGAGATATGTCAGTTCACAACATGATATCCTTTTGTGGCAGCATATTAGAAACATTTATGGCAAAGTTAGTTTGATTCAACTTTTCATAGCACCCACTGTGTCAAATTGACTAAATCCATTATATGAGTAGAGTTTATAGAAATTGAAGTTGGTGTGGAGTATATTGGGCAACACCTCGGTGATGGGCAACTCATGCTGATGTATTTCATTATCTTGATAAGGAAATTACCAGCACAGTCTGATAAATAAACATAGTCAGCTACATAAATATGTTTGGGAACCTTAGTTTTATCTTTCCTACCATTTGGTAGAGCTTTGTGGAAAAATACTTTTTAAGATTCCCACCAGACTTGATATAGCTGTGTTTTCTGGATTTCGAGTCAAAGAATGAGGACTATGTTTATCAGTATGACTGAAAAGTATATGGACTTCTATGTATTCAGTAAATATTTGTGAAAGAGCAAAATCTCTTGCTGATTAACAAATTGGATACTCTGATTAAAGTGACTGAAAAATCTTTTTATCCTCATGACAAATAGATTGAAGACCAGCTATATTCTATGTGAAATCTGAGTCTCTGAAAAGTGATTGATATATAAGGTTGCTTTTAATGAAGAAATTATTAAAAAATGGTTATGTTCCAAGTAGCCTGTTAGGAATATTTGCGGTGTTTAGATATTAGTGAAACGGGTTACCTAATACATTGCTAATCAAAAAAACATGGTTACCAGATTAGTAGCATTCACATCACTAAGAACTGGTGAGAATTGCATAATGTCCCCAGGCTTCCTCCCAGAACCACTGAATCAGAATCTGCATTTTGGCAAGTTCTGCAGATTGATTTGTTAAGCATATTAAAATTCTGGTCCAAAGCATGTTTTTTAGGGACGTGAGCCAGTATTTTGAGATCTCCTAGCAGCCCTTTCAGCCTTACTTTATGTGACTAATGTGGTTCCTGCCCTTTTTGCTATTTTTTTTTAAGATTCCTAATAATTATTGTTTTTTTAAAGATCTATCCATTTATGCATACAATTGCTGGGGCACAGGCCAGAGATGCTGGGGCAGTGAGAGGACTCACCAGAGACATTGTGGGGAGCAGAACAGGCAGAATGACTGAAACACACTGCTGAGGGGAGCAGCGGGTGAGACAGGAGAGGTCTGCCTCGCCAATTGGGTTTCTCTCTGGCCGGCCGGGGATCGAACTCGTGCTGCAGAGGCTGTGGATTGCTCCATAATGTGATGCTTAACCCCTTGCGCCAGCAGGGAGGCCCCCTAATGATTAATTCTTTACAGTTAGATGTTTATTACATTCCTGTGACATGGCATGCTTTGTGCTGGGCACTGGGCTATGGAAATGTATAAGGTATGATCTCTATATTAGTCAGCATAGCAATAATATTCTGATCACTTGCTATTATTTTCTACCTTCTTGTAAATCACAGTTCTTCAGGGAAATTAAAATAGTTTATGCTAAAAGGCTAGAGAACATTCTACACTTGATCTTAGCCAAAAGGCCGAGAAGCTGTTGGGTAGAGGACATTCTAGACCTGTTGTAGCTTGGTGTGTGATTTTAACTTATTTAAAATAAGAGACAGCTAAATAGCTATGCCATTTTATAAATTAAAAGTCAGAAAAATAATGAAGAGACAAAATGTTTACAGAGAGTGCTAAAAATTTTTTGCAAAAAT